TTTGGCTTCTCTCTGGCGCTCCCCTCCTGGCCGGCGTGTATACGCCGACATGGAGCCTCTGTGAGGTGGAACGAACCCCGACCTTCAAACCCTCGAGCCCGCCGAGACGATCTACCTCGGCACGCGGCCCGTGGATGCTTTGCACAAAGCTGTACCCCCCCCTGTGGTGGATGCGCTGCGACTGGCTCGACGCACCACGCTCGCCCGAACCGGGTGTCAGCGTTACCGCTTACGATCTCGATGACCGCTACAAAAGGTTCGACGCCGCCGCCGCAGCCGCCGCCGCCGCCGCCGCCGCCGCCGGCCCGGCTCGTCTCGTCTTGTCGCAGTCGCACACGCGCGCGCCCGCGTCGCTCCGCGATCGCGAAGCCGAGTTCGAACCATGGACTGCAGAGCTGGTGAGCTCAGCCAAAACAGCTCCGAGCAACATCTCCTACGCCATGCTGACCCGGCGGGTCATATGGGTCAAGCCCGATGGGCAGCGCGCCCAAGACACTCTTGCGTTTGCAAGTTTCCGAGATCAATATGGAGATCTCCGGAGCACAACCGACGAGACGGATCTCCGCCTCCCAGGTTTTGCTACCAATTTCTTTTCTTTGCCCACGTCCAATGAATCATTCAGTCAGGCGCAAGGTGCGTCCAAGCTTGACTGTTTGACCAACGACTTGGTGCAAAACTGGTCCCCGGAAACTGCGATTACGTCCTCGTCGCCCGCTACCGTACGGCACGTGCTGGGCGTCCCTCTACCGGCGCTCATACTCGTGCACGCCACGACTGCGATGCCAACCACCCACTGCGCCAACGGCAGAGGGCGCCCTCACAAAGCTGTGCGATGCGTCCAATGCCGTCGCCTCTTTCCGTACTGCATCGTGTGCGATGCTCCTCTATACGGCGAGGTGTGCACACCCGTATAAACCTCGGTTCGACCTCGCGGTGCGAACACGTAGCATGCAGAAGCATGTGCAATCGCAGCTTGTCCCGCATGTCGTCGCACCATCCCATCGCCGTGTACACCGTCGTCCACAATTGAACCGCGTTGCGAAGGCGCTGACAAGTCAGCTCCTCCCTACGAGACATCGGCCTCGGCCCGAGAATCACCGTCACGGCGCTTCGACGTCTCGCCCTTCTCCGACGACTCGTCGTGGACGACGCGGCCGTGCCTCGACCGGCTACACCCACAGCTCCATCCTCGTCACCTCGCTCGCGACGCTCCCTCTCCACCAACGGCCTCAATGTGGTGCTCAGATTCGAATGCAACTGGTCACGCTCGACCGGCTCGCTGATCACCGGCAGGAAGGCGACCGACTGCGGCGCCTCGCCGGCCGCGTCGCTCCCGCCGGCGCCGTCCGTGTCTCGAACCACAACGGACTGCGCGCTCCGCTTTTCGAACCACCAAAACTCGCGGCACCCAGGTGCAGGTGCAGGTGCAGGTGCAACAAGTTTGCGCCCGGCCCTCTAGCGCCGCGCGCTGGCCCCGGCTGCGTCCCCGCGCGGCCTGCCCGACGGCGTGGCGCCCGCCCTCCACCCACCTCCCCGCGCGGGGCCGCTCCGGGGCGACCCGGGCGCCCTCCGACCAAACTGCTCTATTACTATCATATAAAAGTAAACACGGGTCTCCGAGGGTTAGTTCTGCGCTTTGGGTGACCCCAGCGGCGGAATTTTTCCCTCGCGCTGTGGGTCCCCCTAGCTGCGGAACGCCCCCTCTACTCGGAGCTAGTGGACACGACACTAACTACTGATACGAGAATACATACCGCCCCCACGCAACTACTCGAAGATAATACGAGAATACGCAGCTGCGAGACGCCTATAAAGAAACAGCGAGGTAAAGTTCGGCGGCTATGCTAAACCGAAAGTTGTCGTAAAACGCGGGCGAAAGCAAAGCAGAGGGCGGGCGCTTTCTGCCGCAGCGATGCCCGCAGCCTGTCGAGCAGCTTCCGCGGCGCACATGCGCCGCGGGGTTGAACGACAGCCGCGCCTCTCGAGCCACC